GGGACAGGACATGGAGTACCCTGGTGTGCTCCATGGGACATTCCCATGAGACAGCTCTGAAACAGAGAGGTCTACCTGCAACCTAGAGCAGGAGAGGGACTCTCACTTGGTGAGTCCAGCCTTGTACTCATTATGTTGAAGCCCAGCTAGAGAATACCTTTGTGGATAGAGATGGAAAATATATCAGTTTTTCAGGGGAGCACGGGAACTTTACACAGGAGTGTAGTATAGGCAGTGAGAAATTCCATGTTAGCTTTAAGTTTAATTATACTTCCATCCCTTTCAATCCAATTTTTACTTTAAAGAAGACCCAGGAGGTTGGCAGTTGAGGTTTAATTGACCTATTTGCAATTGAGCCAGCTCATTCCTATGTCTGGGGACTTATTTTCCTAGATTTCAATTCATTGATTCAAGATTTTAAGGCCAAAAGGGACCATTAGATCATTTAGCCTAGTCTCTTGTGTGAAAGACACTTTTCACCTGGACACTTTTCTCCTGAGCTCCACAACATGTACCTGGAGAAAGGCTGTGTCCCACCAAGGTGCTCAGCTTGAAGCTGGTGCTTCCCAGAGGTGGGCAATGAATGCCCTGTTTCCCTTGATTGCTGGCTGCAGCAGATCATCAGTCATCCAGAGATCAAAATGTAAGCATAATCACGATGGTGGTGATCCTGAATACTGCCTGATCCAAAAACATTTAATGAACAGTGCCTGACAGATAGACTGTTAATTTTTTAGATAAAATGCTTAAAATATAAATTGGATTATAAAGTACTTATGAAATGTTAATTTTGCCAAGGGGGCTGATGAGCTCCAGATACAGATAGAGCAGACAAAACAGTGAGAGTCATCATTTGTTCTCTCAACTTTAACTTACATTTTTGTTAAAACTCAAGCCATTTTGGGCGATGGCTTACGTTTGACAGAACTCAGTTTTTAGTTACCCTTTGGAAGCTATGACCGGGAAATGCCCCCATAAGACATTGCAGATGGCTCTTTCCATGTACTGCTTGGCAGATGTGCAGGAAAATTACACTGGAAAGTTGGCTCTCATGTGGGCTTTGTACTGAGGCGCTAATGCATGTGTTGTAATGCTTTGTAACTACATGATTTTTTGGTGCTTCTTTTTTTTTTTTTTTCTTTTTTGAGTTTCTGTGCCAAATTAGAAATCCAGTTGCAAGTGGAAGCGTGAAATCTCACATCTTCACAAGAAGGTAAGCAATGACCTGAATATCTGCAGCCCATCCTGGAGCACCGTACTGCCTGCTGGTGAGGGCCTGGGTGCCAGAGCAATGCTGGAGGCCTCTAGGGACAGGGATGGGGCAGGAACTGGGCACCAGGCTGTCACCTCCCCGCTAGCAGCGCTGCCCAGAGGCCCTCAGCATCACAGGCTCCCTTGCCTTTTCTTTATCAGGTTCTTCCTGTCCATTTATTTCCTCTCCTGCTTTCTGCCCACTTTGCCCTGCCTCACTCTTTTTCCCACTCCTTTCCCCCTTATTTTGTCACCAGAGCTTTAGTGTTGAACAGGGTTGCCTTGCTGGCTCCTGGCTCTTTCTTTCCTTCTCCCATTGTCCTCTTCCCCAGTCCCTTCATGCTCCCTTTATCCTCATGTCTCGTGGTTGCCTTCCCCTGGCCTCCATTCCCCTCCACCTGTCTCCAGACACCTTTGCCTCTCCTGCATTGCCTTTCTCTGCAGCTCAGTGGGACAGCCCCTTCCGTCCTGTAATACACAATAAATGTTTGTTCATTGTCTTTTGTATTATAAAAACAAGGAGTTCTGTTTGAGGAGCGGGAGTTGCAAAAGCTCCCTGCTGAAGTAAGGAGCTGTATAATGCTTGGCTAGACACTATGAAAATTCTTTTGCTTAATGTAACAAAAAAGAGAACCCCCTCCCCTTCTCTCCTTCTGCATCTCAGTTGCCTCTTTTGTTCAAAGACCCTGCTGCAAAGCTCGTGTACCCATCTCCTGATAAGTTGCTAAACTAGTGTATCAACATCCTACCTTCCTGTCTCACGCTGGGCCAACATGACCAAATAAAAAAAGAAGTTGAACCACAACGCTGAGGAAGACTACGGCCTTCATCTTCACGACCACCAGAGGGACAGAGATGACCTCCTAGCAACAGTGCGCACAGTCGTAGAATATACCAGGATGTGCTGCGTAATCCCGGAATTACCAAGATATAAAAAGGGACCCTGGCGGGGGTGAGGTGCGCGCCGTTGGCGGAGCCGAGACTCCCCGGCCGCCCAGCGCTGTTTTGTTTGCTGTTGCTTACTCAATAAATTCCTTTCTATTATTAATGCAATGCTCTCTGAAAATTAATTAAGGGGGCAATTTATAACACCTCCCACCCACTGGCTGAGGAGATGAGTCTTTTTTTCCTCACTAACGCCAGTCCTGGTACCCAACTGTCTGGGGACTAAATAATGTGAAATAACTTTTGATAAGGAAAAGCACCCACCTGTTGATCAGAGTGATGGTGATAGCTGCAGAGGCTCACCAGGGCCAGACATTGGGCTTCCTTCTTCCCTTTGTGGTCCAATTCCCTGCAACAGTATTGCCACCTTCATGTAAAATGTTCTGAGGGCCCAAAGGTTGCCCTGAGAACCGAGGAACTCTCCCTTTCCCAAAACTGAAGCCTGGAGTGAGGTGCTGCCTGCTTCTGGGTTATAGGTCCTGCAGAACCTGCTGCCATGGATGACACCAAGCTAAAACAGCTCTGCAGGAGTCTGAGGCAACTCTGAAGCCTGTCCTGTCCTGCTTTTGTGCTTGAGGAGGATTATTTCCACCCCAGTCCCATTGCTCAGCCCCATGCACAGTAGTTGGCCAGGAAGCCAGGCATGGGGATGTCAGGACAATGCCTGTGCTTAAGGCCTTCACCCTGCAGCCAGCTCAATAAGTTTTGTGTGGTCCCCGCCTCCTCACACCGCATGGGCAGGGTGTAGTGAAGGCCACAGCTGGCCAGGCAAGCCTCTGCTTCGCAGCATATCCTTGGCTCCAGGAGACAAATTTTGAGTTTCTACCTCCCTTGTGTGTCTCACCTGCTCCAGGAGCAGCGCTCCTTGCCCCTGCATCTCCTCGCCCCAGCACCCAGCGGGAATGTCCTGTTCCTGGGGTGGAGATGTGGTACCTGCTCTGTTACCCCCAGAAACACGCTCAAGGGGTACTTGGCAGAGCATTGCAAGGACACGTTGGTGAGAAGCAAGCTTTGTTTTCACTGCAGTTTGTCTGAGCCTCGAAGCCACCATCAACACTTCTCCACAGGCAAGAGGATTCATTTTCATCCTGCTTCTACTCCCCTCCCAGCACTGCAGTGTGCTGCTGCTTTCCAGGGATTTGGGCAATGTGGTGAGCGTTACCTAATGTTTAATGTTATTGATTCTTACTACAGTCGTTTAAAGTACAGGAGTGAGAAACTGGGATCAGAGAAAAATCCGAGGCAAGGCATATCATGCCTGCTGGCAAGAAGACACCAAAATCCTATGAACCCTGATGTGCTGGTCTCAGGGAAATGTAAGGGCTCAACTCTTTGGAGCAGGAATAAGGAACTCCATGACAAAAGCAACTGCAAAGGGAATTTTAAATTAAGTAGGGATTTTAAATTTTAATAGCATTTAAATTTTAAATAGTCTATCTCTCTGTAAAATGAAAGCAATATTTCTGTTCCAATACAAAATGGACCAGATCCTATGCAGCTGTAAGTTGGTGGCCCTCTGTACTGGAATTGAGGGAACTTAATTGATTTGTAGCAGCTGACAATCTGCCAGTTTATGCTCTCTCCTGGAAATACACTCCTCCAATCATCTGTCTGGTAGTGCAGCCTTGATGTTTCATTAATTTGCAAGAAAGCTGCTGCCAGGATTGACACACGCTCTGGCAATGCGGCTGAACAGAAAAAAAAAAAATTGCTCTAAAACTTGTTATCGTCTGTCATGTTATTGAAGCTAATTTAAAAAGCATTTCCCAGGCTCCCAATCTCAAAGGATCACTTAGGGATGTTGTTTTTCTTTCTGTGTGTATGTTAGGAAACCACTGCTAGCATTGTGTTTTCCAGGCTCTGTTTCTTTTAGAAGAGTGAGGGCAAGGAGTCATCGTGGAGGAATGGGAAAGACCCTTCATGCCCTGCCAACACATGACTATCCTCTACACTCAGAGCTTTGTCCTTCACAGTGTGAAATGACTCATTGATAAAGGTTTTCACTACTTCCTTTGGGAGATCATTAAACAGCCTTTCAGGCTTCAATGTTAGGATGTTTTTCTTGATAGTCAGCCTAGACATTGCTCTGCTGTTTCCTCCCATTGCCCCTAGTTACACTTCGTCCCACCCTAAACAACTCCCTTTCCCTCCTTGTGCTGATATGCATATTCTCAGCATATCAGAAAAGGCTGGGGAACCAACACGGAAATAACACATGAGCTGTCTTGTCTGCAGAAAAAACTTGCACTAGAGGTCCTGCCATGATGCTGTAACCAGGAGAGTGAGGAGAAAGGAAGGTATTTGCTGCTATGTTGGCTGTGCCTAACCCAGTGTGATGCCTATGAAAATTAATGGGTTCAAGGGTCCTTGGGAACTTCACAAAGCTCTCTGTTAGGCAACTGGACCTTACAAAGGTGTGCGCTCATGTCCAGCTCCCTTTCACCAAACAGTGCCCTCAACACAGCCAGTGTTTGAGGTAAGGGGATGCAGCAGGTTTAAACGACAAGGCTACTGTGGAATCCACCATCCTTCGGAAAAAGAATGAGCACAGGATTGTAAAATGGCATCAGGGGCTGTCTTGAGGGAGTTAACTGGATCATCTTCCACCACTAGCTTTCCCACTGGAACCTCACAGATCTTGTTTGTCATAGTGATAATGTGGGTTACTGCAAAAATACCAAGTCCAACAGAAGCAAAAAGATCCCTCTGGATGAATCGCTAATATGAAAAAAACAAACAAACAAACAAACAAATAAACCATAATAATTAATGGCAACATTTTGTCATGATCACAAAATGAAAAGTACTTGAAATTTGTGTTTATTGACTTCTACGCAGCAGTAAACAGCCTAGCAAAACAAAAGGGAAGAAAAGCTGACAAATGTGAGGCTACAAATGCAGTGTAAAGGAGAGCACAGAGCAAACAGGCATGGCTTTAGTGGTCAGAGATGCTCTTTGTCTCCCTGTCTTAGTGGGAATTTTGCAGCTCCCTCTCCGCTATTAAGTGCAACAGAAGTCTTTTTGGCTTTGACTGTCTTCCAAATCTGTGCTTTAAATATCTACCTCAGTTTTGGGAAAAAGTTCACTGCTGCCAGATCTTTTCTTTTTCTCAGCTACGCACATATATTAGACGTATGATTTAAAGGCATTTCTCAACATCCAGACAAAAATGTTGACTTTTGTTTTTGTAAATAAACAGCAATGAGATGTTTAGCTCAAAACTGCTGCACTACAATATTAACTGTAGGAAGCATTGTCTCTGCAGAGCTGGAATTAATAGATGTTTGGCAATGAAGAGGGAGCTCATGTAGTGCCTTGGTGTGATCCACACAAGCAGATTCTGGAGGAAAAACTCCAGTATTTTCTACTCACACTTATTTCTCCACATTATGCCTTAAAGAATCAGAGCAGGACACCTGAACAGCACTGCAGGGGTTAATGTTGCAGAAAGATTCAAATGCAAGTGGCCAACAAAACCCCTTAACTTCAGAGACAGGAAATGGGAATTATTTTGCCTCCTCCTATATGACTTCAGCTGACTTTTTCCTCACCTTTTTGGGGTCATCAGTTGAAAGCTTTGAGCTTCTTTGGCTTTGTTGCTGCTATAAGGGTCATTAACTCGAATGTAAAAATCAGTGAGGTCAACAATATGTCTCTAGGGATGCAGACTGGAAGCCCACAAAAACTGTCTTTGTCCTTCACCAGAAGCACAAGCATTTCTGCGGCTGGCAGGAGAAACACACCTCTGTAGTCTCCTGTGGAGTGTTTGCTCGCTGTCATTCAGGTAAGGGGACAATTTCAAAATCCAGAAAAGATGCTCAAAGCTTAGAGACTAGTTTAATAAAGCCTGTGAAAAAACTTCTGTGAAGATCTGCAGAAAGAACAGGAGGGCACTGTTTTTCTTGCTGACAGCAGGACTGAGGCTGAACTGCAGCTTTCCATGTCTGGAAGACGATTAGGAAATTGAGGCTCAGATTTCATAACCTTCTCATAATGAGGAAAATCAAAAGGGCCTTTGGGATATCAACACTCACAGGTTTAAAGGGAAAATGGGACCTAAAAAAATTGCTTCGAAAGCCAAGCTCTAGACAGGACAAACACATTCCTGGGGACCAATCTGATTAGGAGAGTTCCTTTGAAGGGCAGCCATGATATATAGAGCTTTGTTTGGCTGTTATGACTCAACTAATCTGATCATTGCCTCCTCCTGGCCTCCAGGACACCCCGTCTGACCAGCTCTCTGCCTACCCGTTTGAATATATGAGCAGCTTCCACTCCAGCTGATGGTTTGCCAGTAGCTCATAAGGCTAGAGCAGAAAGCAAACAATGACTGCATAAGAAATAGCACACTGCAAACTCTTTTCAACATCCATTTCTTCTTCAGGCAAGAGAAAGTAAAAACATTTATCTATATAGCATGTTTTCTATGTATATGTTTTCTCTTAAACATTATGTACATGCATGTATACATACGAAGTTTATAAACTATACACAGCACACTATGCATCAGTAAGAACATGGAATTACTGTGAAATGCTAATGATAATGATCTTTAAAGTGAATTTTATGGGACATGCCAGGCTGTACAGATAAAGCTGATGATCTCTGGTGTCACCACAAAGCCAGATCTCATTTCTTGAAGCAACAAGAAGCACAATTTTAAATCCTGCAAAGGATTTAAAAATAAATAAATAAACGATAAAATAAAAGATAAAATAAAAAGCTCAGACAATCTCTTCCTGTTGTTGATGGAATTAGTGATGGATGCTAGAGCAAGTGACGTGTTCGTAGCATATAGCTGTAAGATGGAGTGACAAAGTACTTCTGGAGAGCAGTGCCAGCCAGGGGGAGAGACTCTACATATATCACTCCACCAAAATTAGGCTGCAAGAAAGAAACAAGATTTCTCATAAATACTGGCAGTGCAAATAGCATTATATCAATACTTTTAACGATAACCGTGCTGATTTAGTTTAGCTTTTCTTTTCTCCTAGTAATCTTAATGCTCACGAGTGTTTCTGATTATTCATTCAGCAGGTCATGTGACAACAGAAATATTTCTTGTGCCAGTTCTGCTGCCTCAGCCCTGGCACCAAGGGTCCAACAAATATACACTCTGTGTTGGGATCCAGCTCCTGAGACTCCTATGGGGAGGCTATTTGGTGTCAAGGAAGACCATGGTGTTTTTTCCATTTGCATTCTTTCATTACAAGTTGGACTGCAAATGATTTTATATTTAACCCTTCTCTCAGCTGTACATTGATGGTTATTAGTACATCACATTGAAAAAAAGTCCTGTTGAGACCCCAGTAGTACAAAATCCAAGTCTTTCTCACCTCTCTAGCCTATGTTTGCTGTACCTGGCTCCTTTCTTTTGGAGTAGCAGTAAGGAAAAAAAAGAAAAAAGAAAAAAAAAAAAAGACAAAAAAAAAAGAGGAATTTCATCCAAGAATATCAAGCAAAAGAAAAATTGAGATTTTCAATTTACTGACCATGGACCATGCAGATGGCATTATACTATTTTAACATGGCCTGGTTCTCAGTAAGTGATAAACTTTCACTTTTGGAAAAATCAATGGTTACTCATGGTGATCACCTAAATACCAAAGTATTGCAGATCGCTGATCTCTTTCCAAACAGAAAGGATCTGAATTGTTGAAAACAATGACACTCAGACAATTTTCTGAACCTCATTAGTCTACGTTTCCACTTTGCAGCAGGAAAAAGGTGTGTCCGAAGTTTAGCCACTGCACCAAGAACTTGTGTCAACAAGTTGATAATTTCATTGCTTTGCAATCTTTAACTATGTTCCTAAGGTCTGGTCAGTCTGCAAACAGCTGAGGAGAACAAGAGGCATTTATAGATGGCTGCATTAAGAAGTACCATGGAAATGAAAAACATAACTCTTGAACCACTGAAATGAGTATGTAATCATTTTAGTGATACTATTACTGCTGTAGCACCCACAAATTGAAGAATTAAAATGTAGAGTTCATCAAGTCCAACAGGAATCTTCCATTGGCTTCTATGGGCTTTGGTACCTTAGCAATAGCTTGTTAAACTATACAGTACTTCTTGAAACTGAAAATGCTGTGTTCTCTTCCTATGTCAGTGGGGTTTCTGTAAGGCTGTTTGTAAGGTTCAGGATGATGTGAAGTCAGTGCCAGTCCCAGCTCTCTCTTCTGTGCTACATTCAGCCCCACTGGAATTGTCCATTTACTTAGAAAACGAAGTGTGAAACACAGGTGAGTTGACACTTTTGTCAAAAAATCCCAGTCACGAGTCACATGCAGAGACTGCAAGATGATTTTTGATGCTTGTTATGACTGCAGTGCCATGACTGGAAATTCACAGAGGAGCAAGCAAGAGATTTTACTGTGGAAGGATGTGGTCTGGTGGCTAAAGAAGCAGTGTAGTTTTCAAGAGAAACTTTGCGAATCATCTCTGCCAGAACTAGCTATTCACACTGTGACCTTCAAAAGGTTATACTAGGTACCATTCTAATAACATCTAGGACACAAGGGTAGTTCAGGGGCTTAACTAATCACAGTCTCAAAGTTTCAAATTCACAGACCTTCTGTGAAGTTAAAAACAGTATCATAATAATTTGAGCCCTCTAGCTGGTTATGTTCAGGATCCTGGAGTGATTTAAGATAAATGCGTTGGCAGGTACCGCCCCTGCAGTTAGTCTCGTACAATTCCCTGTGGAGTGGCAGTATTTTTAGCTGCAAGTGAACCTGCAGTACAAAACAATGTAGCACAAGTATTTCCCAATGTAAGGTATGGGGGGCTTATACTGAATTTAGGAATATTGCAGTAGCAATCCCAGAGTGATTCGTTTAGTTCAATGCCTGGCCTTTGAGAGTGGACACTGTCAAAAGTTCCCAAAGAGGAAGCGAAGGCAAAAGTGGGAACTTAGTGAGTAGCCTCCCCACGGGATGAGTCCTCGGCTCAATTATCCCTTGTAGCAAGATCTTGTCATTAACTGTACACTGTGGAGGAGAGTCCCCTTTGATCTGCTTTAAATGCTCAGTTTAATTAAATTCATTTTATTCATTCTGAGGAGAAAGGATAAGCTGAAGTAAAACAGCTACCCTCTCTCTACTTTTCCTTTTATTCATCTCCAAATGACAGTTCCAATCTTTACAGTTTCTCTCCATGTGAACACTTTTATCCAGTAATTTCAATATCCCATTTGTGACCCTTACTTTTTCTGAAAAAATAATTTTGAGAAAAAAAATCAAGAATTAATATAGTATTTCAGATATACTGATTAGCTTGGTTTATAAAGCAGTGTTAAACTATTTGCAGGGTCTGTTTTCCATCCAGGGCTGTACAGTACTCACACAATTCTCACACAATTTCTTTATCATACCTCTACATTTTAAGTAAAGGTTTTCACTGTCACCAATTATGATCCACTTTTTTTTTTTTTTTTTCCTGAGTAGAGTTAATTTTCAGTTTTTAACAATAGTTGACATTTGTGTTTGTTTTTCTTTTCTTTCCCAAATCTGATTACTTTGTATTTATTCAGAACAGAAAATTCTGCTTGCTCTCACATTTCTATCTTTCCTTGCTTTCATTGACTCTTTTGAAGTTTTTCACAGTCATCCCCAGTGGCCTTCACCCACCTTGTGTCATGTGCAAAATTTCCAACCTCAGTGCTCGCTCTGTTTTCCAGATCATTAAAAAAAAAAGCAAAAAATACACTTGACAGTATGGATTACAACACCTGCTGCTAATCTTTTGCCAATGTGAAAATGTATCATTTATTTCAAATTTTACTTTCTCCATCCCATCGAATCTAATGCTGAGCAGCAATTTAACTGTTGCTTAAGATATTTACAGGTATTGTCAATGTGAGATTAAATAAAAGACACTTTGAATAAGAACTGCCATGTGAAAAGTTGTCCCTGTTTGATGACTCTCATCTTATGTTAATTTTGTCTATTCCCCTTACACTCCTAATGTTAAATTGCATTCGTCCTTAAAATGACAATATCAGGGGAAATATAAAGTCAGACTGCTGGTATTTTAGGATTGCTCTGTGGCAATGCCATGTGGTCATCAGAACTGTTCAGATCTTTTCTCTTGTTAAAATATCAGCCTTAAATACATATCCAGGAAGAATAAATGTTCTTTGATGGAAAACAAATTCCATTATGTGCAACAGGGTAAAGCATGATTACCTTTACCTGTTAAGTCAGGAGATCTATTCTAGGAATTAGTCTGCTGGGACCAATATTTGCAACAGATCAGTCTTATACATACATGAAACCATAATTAAAAAGTGTCTGAAAAAGAAATAAATCTGCTATAGGCTGAGTAAGAGTAAGAGTATAGATTCAAGAGGTTTTGACTATATTGAATCTTTTCCAAATGATCTGAGTAATCATTTCCAAGTGTTGACTTTCCTGGATGAAAGCAGAACTAAACTAATACACACAAGAGGTATGCTCACAAGCTGAAGAAAGAGGGCAGCAAAAGGATACCTCATTCTCATCCACAGGCACCAAGTGAATTTCATCTCAGCGTTATCTGTAATCAGCATAGACTTTTATGATGCAAAGCCTTTCTGTATGGGATACTGACCAAAATAAATCTGTGCTGACATTGCATTCTGGATAAGAGACTGCTTTTGCCCTGTAGTAAGGGATGCATTTCTAAAGTCCAGGTGCTTCCTTTGGGATAAAGTTACCATTTTCAGAGAATTGCATTTTCTTGGGGAAGAAGTCTGATATGGCTAGTAATTAAAACAAAAATGTAGAAATTCTGACCCAACCTTGCATCCCATCTGTGGGTCCCTATCTCTGAGGGGAAAATGGATCCTAGCCCAGGAGCTGGCAGGCTCATTGAGAGGGCATTAAACTAGGTAAGAAGGGGGATGGGGCTGAAACAAGGCTTGTTAGAGCTGTGCCAGGGGGAACAATGGCAAGGCCAGGGGATAAGGCAATGGCCCAGCTGAAGTGCATCTACACTAATGCACGCAGCATGGGTAACAAACAGGAGGAGCTGGAAGCCATCGTGCAGCAGGCAGGCTACGACTTGGTTGCCATCACGGAGACGTGGTGGGACCAGTCTTACGACTGGAGTGCTGCAATGACTGGCTATAGGCTCTTCATAAAGAACAGGCAGAACAGAAGGGGTGGTGGTATGGCTCTCTATATTAGAGAATCTTTTGATGTTGTGGAACTCGAGGCTGGGAATGATAAGGTTGAGTCCCTGTGGGTTAGGATTGGCGGGAAGGCCAACAAGGCTAGCATCCTGGTCAGAGTCTGTTATAGACCGCTGAACCAGGATGAGGAGACGGATGAGGAGTTCTACAGGCAGCTGACAGAAGTTGCAAAATCGTCAGCGCTTGTTCTCGTGGGGGACTTCAACTTCCCAGACATATCCTGGAAACACAACACAGCCCAGAGAAAGCAATCTAAGAGGTTTCTGGAGAGCGTGGAAGATAGCTTCTTGACGCAGCTGGTTAGTGAGCCTACCAGGGGTAGTGCCCCACTAGACCTTCTCTTCACAAACAGAGAAGGACTGGTGGGAGATGTGGTGGTCGGAAGCTGTCTTGGGCAGAGTGACCACGAAATGGTAGAGTTCTCTATTCTTGGCAAGGCCAGGAAGGGGACCAGTAAAACTGCTATATTGGACTTCCGGAGGGCTGACATTGAGCTGCTCAGGACACTGGTCGGCTGAGTCCCTTGGGAGGTGGTTCTGAAGGGCAGAGGAGTCCTGGAAGGCTGGGCACTCTTCAAGAAGGAAATCTTAATGGCACAGGAGCAGTCCATCCCCACGTGCCCAAAGACAAGCCAGCGTGGAAGAAGACTGGCCTGGCTCAACAGAGAATTGTGGCTTGAGCTTAGGAGAAAAAAGAGGGTTTATAATCT